GGGGGGGAGAGAGAAGGGGGGATAGAGAGGTGAGAGAGAGACATAAATAATGAGACAGAAACAGAGACAGAGAGAAAAAGAAAGGGGGGTGAAGGGTAAATAGGTTATAGAGGAGAAAGTAGAACAACGGATAAAGAAAACAAACGATCTTTGGAAAGATGGAGCGATTAAAGGAGAGAAAATACAATCATACAGGTACACACCTGTAGACCAACACGTTGTTCTGCTCACGGGCCGAGTCGTCGTCATCAGCTGAGATAGTTCCCAGAACGCTGCCTGAAATGAACAATTTTGTAATAATATTTTGTGTCACAGCGCAGTTAAATCAGGCGCTCGGCAATTTTTGGGCGTAAGATGATATTGGTATCATCTGAAAGCTGATTTATTTTCCTTACTTTCAATGAAATAGATATCCATCTAGCTTGAATAGAATTCGAGATATTTACGATTGAAGAAGGTGGGGTAGCCTGGTTTCAGTGGTTACATTAAAAAGAAAATGGCCGCCAAAATTTGGTAACTTCAATAGCTTAAAAGTCCTTGAAAAATGAAAATTACATATTTTATGTCTTTGTCCCAAGGTTTTAGTAAAATTTACCTGGAAATGTGTTTTCATATTAACATAAAAGGTGTTGAGCCAAAAAGCAAAATTTCGATAAAAACTACCAAACTGGTGGAAAAATGCTTTTTTTCTCAGATTTCATTATTTTGACGAGCGTCAGATTTGACCACAATGTCTCACATATGTGAAGCGTGCTGACAAACTGGATTACTTCTCTGTTTCAACCCTTATGGTAATGGATACACCACGCTTATAGGTGAAGTTCTTACTATTTATAAGTATGGAATAATAAAAGACAGGTTATAGTTAAAGAATGTGGCATAAATAGAAAATCTATAAATTTGACCCTAATGTCAATTTTTGGCCACAATCTCCATCTGTGGATTACGATAAGTAAATCATTATGTTAGCACTCCTCATGTATCATCTTTTTGAATTACAAATTATACATAATTATTATTGTTATGACTTCGACAATTCTTCCCTCAAAATAATCTGAGTACGATTTCAGAGGGCAGACGTTGCGGATTTTTAAAAAATGAAGTGCTTTAGTTTATCTTCTGGTTTGTGATACATTTTATGTGAGATGTTGTGTAACTGATAGCTTGTAAACTTTTATATTTATATTGGTTTAAAAAAATAGAATATACGAATTGAATTGTATGTCTACATTCGTTTGTTTGTTTGCTGTTGTCTTTTTTTACCTTTCCTGTAAACCACAGACAATTCCCAACAGGAACGAGAAAGTATTTTATCGTATCTTACATGGTATGTCACTCAATCCGCATTGGTCCCGACAGGCATGATCGTGGTAGCCCACCTCCTTAAGGATCTAAATTGTGTCGATTGGGCTCAGCTGTAAAGCTTCCAAAAATAACAATATCAAAGACATTAAACTAAAAATAAATAAATCAGTAACTGTAATATTATACGGTCTCATTACAAAAGCAAAAAAGAACAAAAAACCAAACAGATTAAAATGTTTACCTCCTAAAAAAACAACAAACCCCAACCCAACAAAAAACAACAACAACTCATCAACAATCATTATTATTTCAGAAACGAAAGTTCCATCTACAGTAGCATTAACCAATAAAACTCACACACAGACACAAAAAACAAACAAACAAAAAAACAAAACAAGTAATAATCATACAAGTTGCAATAACAATAAATAAAATGTCAGAACCTTCAATTTAACAACAACCCTTCCAAC